TTTGTACTTCTGGTAACGGACGGACCAGTGGGGCGTGGACTACATCCTGCTTCGCCCTTAACTCAATCGCGATAGCCTTAGAGGGCGAAGCCTTATACGATATAGAACTGGGTTTACGTACTGTAACCCAGTTATTAATCAAACAAATAAATAAACACAAGGTTATTGTTGAGTAAATAACAGTGTGTGGTTTAGAAAAGATTACAAAATTAGAAGGAAAAAACGATGAAACAATACAGATTTCAGTATTCTGAGCCCCTACTCTCCCCATAACTGACGGCAACAAAAGTCCTACATTATTCAATTAAAATAAAGAAGTACAAAAAAGAAGTGTGGCTTGATATTGAGTAAGAAAAAGGTTGATAAACGCTGTGAGAATGAATCTGCGGAGAGCATTTAGCCGCGATCCCAACTCGTCTATTACCAACGTTCAGGGAGTTCTATGCAAGTCAATGGGACGCCCTGCCCGTTGACAACTGACTCTCAAGGGGTGCCCTGTGCGTAATACGGTGACGAGAAGGGGCCCTGACCGCCCGTCAACATGTGACGGGTTGGGACTGAGAACTGTTGTGCCCCTTTAGATAATGCTAACATGCTAAATTAGTTACCATGCTTACTGTAAACACGTTAACAGCCTACACACCAAACCATAATATTATCAAGTTTAAATGTCTTGCCATTATGTTAGGGTCACATAGTTGTTAATTATTTGAAAATTAACATGTGAAGTATGGGGAGGTTGAAATAATATTATAAATTCAAAGCCCAGCAGAGTTTAGGTAAGTAAGCTAAGTAGTTAGACAATAGTTTAACATGTTTCTGCTAATGTGATCATGTGTGAGCCAGGGACAGTCCATCCCAAAATAAAACAAATAATAAAAAATATACATAACGTAGCAGCAATGTCTCCTTGGATAACACTGTGCAAAAGAAAGCAAACAATAGCTAGCACCACTGAGTTAGCCAACACAACACGTTAGTCAAGGCGGGCGTTAATGTGAACATTTCGTGCTTTCAAGGGAAGAGCCTGTGGTCCATGAATCGATGCACAACTAAATTGTTGATGTAGATAACAACGGTGCGGCCTATAGCCTATAGTTCTCCATCCATCCAGGTTTTGTTTTCTGGTTTGTGAAGATAATTAACGAAACTGCTCTTTTCATCTGTAAATGTACATTTTGGAGGTGTATGTTAGCATTAGGTAACTGATTTGCACTGGTGTTGTTTCTTAATAAACAGAGTATAGCAGGTGCTGTCTTTATCTTAGCTGGCTGTGGTCAAGGACAACACAGCTACAGATGGTTACATCCAAACACAAGCCTTTTGTTGAGCACAGACTGTTCAGAGCAAAAAGAGAGAAAAGAAAGACAAGGCGTGAGACAAGAGAGTCACATTTGGCAGGTGTTTATTGAAAATAGCAGGTCCTTGTAGCTTCTCTCACCTGAGGATGCAAGCTCAACCCTGAGTCTCAGGGTTCTTTCATCCGGCAAAAAGCAACTCTGCAGAGACTTACACTGCTCACTGCACTCATTCACACTTCAAAGCCCTGTGTGGTGTGTGCGAGGTGGGGATTTGTGTGTCTACTGTCCCAGTTAGACAAAGCAGGACTTGAAAGAAAAGGTGCAACTTCCCTTACTTTGATGAAGCAGGAGGTGAAAGGGAATAGGAGAAATATGTTGGAGTCTGCAACTTGCGGATATTTTGCTAGAAACTATAGATAGCCTATAGTTCCACATTTTGAGAAACAAGCTGATTCACTTTCTGGCAGAGTTGGATTTGGAGATCAGCACCACTCTCACTCTTAAATATACCGCAGGAACAAGCAGATGTTAGCTTAGCTCTTTCCAAAGTAGGGCTGCAACTGATTATTATTTTATTATTGATGAGTGTACTTTCTTGGATATGAACACTATAATGATGATTAAAGGGAGCTGTCATTTCCACCCCTGCGCTAACAGACATGGTTCATCTTTGTTCAAATACTAAGGTTTACATTTCTAACAGCAAAGAAAAAGCTATGTTGGGTGGGGTTACTTTGAAAATGTATTCCGTTGCATTTGCTAAATAACTATTAAGAAAATCTAATGAGTTATCTGAGTACCAAAATATAAAAGTAATGTAACCTGACTATTTCCCATTACTTTTGAAGCACTTCAATATTAAATGTATCATGATTATGTAATCCCGTTAATCCATCAGTCCCTAAATAAGTAAATTGCAAGTAAATTACTTTCTCAATAAAAGTAAAACTCAGAAATTAAGTGTGAAATAAATTCAAATATTAATGGTTAATTAATAATTTTTTGGAGATGCTGTCAGTTTCCTAATTTAAGCAGTGTATCAAACCGGATGGAAATTTCACCAGGAAGTGAAGAAGCATAATTCCCAAAATGATGAACTATTACTTTAAGATTTCCCCCCTAACGCAATATGAGTTACTTTTAGTTTTTCCAAATTAGCCTCTGATCTCATATGGCCTATTTAACACAGTATTTTTGCCTGCAAGCTAATGAAGGAAAAAACCGACAAACAGAACACAGTCCAGGCTCACTTGGGTAATATTTTATTTACTCATTAATCTTCAAAACTATTTTTCATAATAAATTTCCACTTTATGTTCATCAAAGAACCGTAACAATAAAAATAAAAGTAAATACTGTAGAAAAATTGTACATATAGAAAATAAACATGGTTAATGAACACCTAGATGTAGTATCCCATTGAGACACCGCCTTTGTTTCCGATGGCAACACAACAGAGATAGAGGGGAAAGAAAGCAGTAGACACAGAAGGAACTGGGAGGGTAAATAGCGAAACATACTAAACAAGGGGAAAACAAGAGAAGGGAAGAAAAATGAGGTCAAGGCCAGTAAAGGAAGGGGAGAATAAGGAAATATGTTAATTTGGACAATATACTTTCATATCTCACAGGCCTTTTTCATATCCTTTCTTTCCATCGTAATTGTGCATGCATCTCACTGGTTGGTTTCGCTGCTTGGAAGATCTGGAGGGGCTTGTTCATGCCATGGCACTGTTTGTATTGATATATCGTGGAGCTACAATTCTTGAGCTGTGGAGGGCTCAGACACAGCAAAAGTCCATAAACAGATAATTATACCGCAGCCCAGATCGGAAACCCATCTGTCTGTGTATTGGTCATGTCATGAATATTGATGAATCTGTCAACCGATAGCATGAAGATAAAAGGACGCAAAGAGAAAGAGAGAAAAGGGAGAGCCAGTGAAATCAAAGCAAATCAGGTCATCATATAGTCAATGGCATCATGAACTGGCCTCTTCTATCTATTAGCAACACATGGTAACATTTACTTTGTTCTGTTTTTGATTCTTTTCCTCGGCTGGGTTTTGCTATAAAATAGGTGGTTGGTTAGAGCAGGTATAGTGGGCGTGGCCTATAAGACATCAGGCTAGAAAACATGACGTGGCCTGTGGTGGACGCGCACATCTAGGCGTTGCACTTGAGTTACATTGCAACCCGCAACACCTCCCTTCCCCTCCTCACCCTCCTCCCACAAACAAACAAACAAACAAACAAACCTACCACCTCTGGACCACCATTTCACTGCACAGCTCAGAGACTCAGGCATGCAGCACACTCGAGATGGTCACACTTTGAACTGAGAGTTGATTCACAGAATAAATCATGGTTGAATCCCACTGACTTAAAATCCGTTTGAAGTGCGTATTTAGGAATACTTCAAGCCAAGGTTGTAAGTTTATGATTGTGGTTTGTCACCTCTGGAGTTTCAACGCGGTATAAATCACACGGAGTAAGATAATTCACGTGCAATAGGAGCCCCCCCCTCCCTTCCCCCAAAAGTCTATACCTTGTTCTTCATATTCGTCATTGCCGTAACAATTATCATAATGGTCATTGTCATTTTCACCATTGTCTTCTTGTATAGTCTTCAGTGTCACTCATGAAGATATGGTGGTTCTTTAGCATTGCAGGTATGTGTATGTCTGCAGGTATAGATTGTTTATATTTTCTGTGTGTGCATGTGTGCTGTATGTATGTGTGTGACACTGCAGTCATGCATGACTCGTGTCTGTAGGTAGCATCTGAAGTCTCAAGTATCCTGTCCAGGAAAATAGCTCTCCGCTAATTCCACCTTTGTGATTTAGAGGGCGCTGTAAAACATCAGCACCACAGCCCATCCATTATATTAACGGCACCAGCCCTGCCTCTGCCTATTCACTCATAATTCACCGTCTCTATGGCTACACCCTGATTTCCCTGTCCTGCTGCTTGGGTTGGCACTTGGATCGAAAGTGTGCTTGTTTCTTCAGCGTCATCAGTGTTTCATTGAGTCCCGTCTGCTAACAGGGAGGAAGGCCAAGAAACTTGGAAGAGACACTTGGTGCTTGGCTTGGTGCTATTACATCATCTTTGTTCTGGTGCTCTGCCTCAATGCACTCAGTCTGCCATGTGCTTTACATAAAAGTCTTCCTTGACCTCTCTGAGTCCAAGAGGAGAGGTCCTACTGTGGCAGGCAGGGGAGTGACTGGTCTTTTTATCTGGCTGGCCCAAAATGGTTCTTTACTGGGAGTTGAACTGGTGCTTTTTTAAAACCATTTGGAATGGTCTTTAAGTTCATAAAACAAGCCTCTCGCTGAGGCTCTGCTCATTGGTAAATACTGTACAATAAGGGTCCATGCCCTCGGGCCAGTCTGTATGTGTGTGTGTATGTTTGTGCTTAAATGTATGTGTGCTTGGATGTGTTTATCTTTGTGCTTGCCAGCATGTGTGCAGATGTGATTATTGGAGAGTAAACATTAACATCAGCATGTCTATGTTGGTGTGTATGTGTGCATCATTTTTTTGTGGAGAATATATCTATTTATGTACATATACCGTTATATATAAAGGTGTATGCGTATATGTTGGACGTCTTCCGCCTCAGACGTAGTACTCCTTGTCTTTGTTCTTCTTGTTCTTGGAGATCTTGGCGATCCCCAGCGGTTTGTCCTTGGCGCTGCCGTTGGGCTGTGTGGCTGAGTTGCTGATGTAGTTGCGGCTTTCGTCCACGTGATAGGAGCCCTCGTCGCGGTTACGGTACTTGTACATGGCGTAGAGGAGGATGAGTATGCAGAGGGCCGCGGCTGCCACGATGCCCACCACCATCCCTGTGGTGCTGCTGCTCTCCCGGACCACCTCAGACGGACCCGGGAATACCTTCCCATCCGGCAGAGGGGGGCGGGCTATGACGGGGAGAGGGGAGGCACGCAATGTTACATTACATTTTACGGCACACATTATTAATTTGTAATACATATAGAGGTGATAAGTGGAGGGCTGCCGCGATACAATGCGTCATCATGATGAATTATTTGACGGGCACTTTGCATAATGCTTCATGCTGGCAAGGGAAGGCTGCAGCTTGGAGCCAAAGCAGTTTGCATATTATCACATAATGTGTAAACAGATTATATTACACCGTGTTGAGAGGAGGGCCAGAGCACAGGTGCACATTATATCAGTTTTATTACACACATTTGACACTTTATGACACACAACGGCAGCGAGGGGCTGCAGTGTGGTGATATACAGTATGACACCATGTTAAACAATTGATGGGAATTTTTATGTGAATTCTTCAGGCTGGATGGAGGTGAGGGAGGGGGAAGAAAAGAAAGAAACTGCTACTTAAAGATATGAATGAATAATAAGGGATGGTGAAGGGACGAGCTGAAAGCAAAGTAAAGGATGGAGAGTGTTAGGTAATGCCTGGAGGCAAAAAACCTAAGTGGAAATGAAAAATTCATTGTAGCGAGCGACCAAGCGGCAGGAAAGCACTGAGCGACAGCGAGAGAAGAGGACAGAAAATAACTCTGAGTCAGTATGATGTAATATTTGTGGGGGTAGGGGGAGTCTCACCTGAACTGGGGTCACAGGGGTCAATGTCTTCATCGTCGCTGGGACACTCAGCTGACGCCACCAGCAGGTCGTCTGCCGACTACAGAGAGATGATACAGAAAAAAAAGCAGGAACATAAACACACGTTTATAGACACAAACAGCCGATGCTCCGCACCCCTTCTGTTTGTTTTCTACATGTGTGAGCACACGATCCATCGCCCACCCGTTTGCAACAAACACTTTCGCCTGTTAGGCCCCAAGCAATGGCAGGCGGCCAACACCAAAGTACCAAGGAGAGAAGAAGAAAGGAAAAACATTGCATTCTGTTCAGAGCCACCAAGGGACAGTCAGTTATCATCTCACATTCTCTTGGCCCTCCCCCTCTTTTTCTCTCCTCATGCCTCTCTATCTTTCACACCTCCGTGCTTCCCTCTCCATCTGATATTGGCTAGTGTACATAGGTGTTGAACAATGTGCAGTGTGAAGCCAAAGAGAGGAATACAACTCAAGTTTTCATGGAAACTTCCACTTAAGCTCATTCTGGTTCATTTAAATCACATTTATTCAACACTTCTTCATAAGCACCATGTCAATAACCCCCTTGCATTCCCTCTCTAACCTACATCGACCAGCTAATATCTCAACAACCACTCATTCTGCGTGCCTTGCTCCCTCTCGATGGATAAGGCGCCCTTCCTCTACATCCTTGCTCCTCCTGTTGCCATGGCAACTCTAAGTTCAGGCTGTTAAAAATGATGGGGATTAAAAAAAAGAGGAGTGTGTGCACCCTCTGTGGGACCAGTGCATTGATTTGCCATTCAAGCCAGAGTATGAGAAGAAAAAAAAGGGGGGGAGGGGGGGGATTGAGAGATAGATGGATGGATAAAAGGAATTTTAGGGGTATTGGGGAGAAGGAGAAAGAAAAGAAGAGGGGATAGGAGGAGCAGGAGGAAGACTTCAAAGTGCTGCGGTCTTTACTTAACACCGTGCTAATGTGCTCCGCATATCCATGAACTACTGTTAAACATCGCCCGCCTTGACGCTCCGCTATGAGAGATGTGAATGTGTGTGTGTTCAAACACACAGGGCGCTCAGTGCCAGCACTAAATTAAAATTGGATTGTGATGCATTGCAGTAGATGTTAGTAACCCACAGAATAAAGGGGAGCGCGGCAGAGCTTTAAAAGAGAAGAGCTCTAGAGGCAGATTACAACCAGACCAGAACAGAATCTGAACCAAATCAAAGCACTAAGTGGTCGATGATGTCTTAGCTGAAACCTAAAGGCAGTGTTTCAAACAGAAATTCATTACGCTTTCTTCTCTGTCCTTGGTTTCTTCATTCCCTTGCCTCTTGTTTTTGGAAGAACATACAGTGTATTACGTAACATTAGGGGCGCAAACCACTTAGTGTGTTCATCAGAAAAAAGCCCGCACTGGCTTTGTGTAGTGTGGTCTCGTTTCTGACGACTCTACTGTGGTTCAGATTGGCCTGAAACATATATACAGTTATTGATGCTTGACTCGGTCTCTTTCCTCCACTGCCTTTCCAATCAGTTCTGCCTACTGGGCTGTCAAATGCTGGGAGCATGAGCTTAGCCTCTGGAATCCAGCCATTCGATAAACCTCTGTGCTTTTGCCAGGATCCAAATAGCACAAGAACCAATCAGCCAGTAGGAAACACCCATTTCTCTCACTGATCAATGTCGAGCCCCCATGCTCGAATATTGATCCGAAAGACAGCTATGTTCCCCCTACAGGAATGTGTTCTGAATCCTAAAATCTGCTACAAAAAAGCAGACAAGCAAATATAATAAGGGCCTTCCTCTGATCTGTGGTCAGCTGACCACCCTCCCCCCCCATTCAACCGGCAAGGTATCAAGGGACTATCGATCCACCTATCACATGGGAAACAATGAACACGAGGGAATATAGAGACATGCCAAACACAAATGAAGTTCAAAGTGGATGTACCAAAGAGATATGCCCAAGAAACCACCGCCCCTCACTCTCACCCTCCTTCTTTGTCCCCATCTTTTCACAGTCTATCAATAGAGCATGCTGACATATTAAAGGACACAGATCCACAACGATAAGAAGGGAAAAAATACACACACAGAAGGAAAGAGAGAAGAAGTACAAAGAAGAATATCTGCATGCTAAAAGAGCAAAATCTGTACCTGAGCAGCCGAACAGTGCCAACGACCGTCAATGCCTCCCTGACTGCCTAGTTCACACATAGTAGCTTCGCTTTGTCTTCACACACTCTTGCAGAAGACTCAACAGATTGTCTGCTACTTTCACAACTTGAAATCCAACACACATGCACACACACAAGCTCTATAACAGCCAAACACGCTCCATTGCTCTACTTCTATTTAGACACATCTACACAGGCACACCAGCGCACACTAAATCAGGTTGAAGTTAGCAGGCTGATGAAGAGATCCTGGCGAGAGAGGAGAGAAGCTAGCTCCACTACTGCAGATGGTGAGATAGACTCATACACCGCCTGCATTAACAGCCTATCACTGGAGCTCAAACACAGAGCGAAAGGGAGGAGGGAGGAGAGAAGAGGGGGGGTGGGGGTTGACGGGTAAATATGGAAAGATATGGAGGGAGAGAGCAAAGGAGAGTGAGAAGAAAGAAAAAGAGAAAAAGTGAGCTATGGGGAGGAGAGAGAAAGTGTCTCCAGGAGATGGATAGCGAGCGGAAGAAAAATGCAAGAGAGAGATGTGGAGAACATAGCATGAAAAAAAAGGACAGGGAGGGAGGATGGGATGTTTAGAGGGCTTGTGGAAGTGTCTGGGTCAGCTGATTCCTGATAGCCAATCAGGTGGCGCTTGGAGCCTCAGGTTTCTTCTATCAGTCTTCCCATAAAACACAGGTACACACACACACTCACACACGTCCACAGACAGACAGACATCAAAACTAGAACTCTGTGAGTCAGAGTAGCCTCTAGCACATGCACACACTCACTCACTCGCTCGAACACACACACACACACACACACACACACACACACACACACACACACACACGTCCCCAGACAGACATGAAAACTAGAACTCTGTGAGTCAGAGTAGCCTCTAGCACATGCACACACTCACTCACTCGCTCGAACACACACACACACACACACACACACACACACACACACACACACACACACACACACACACACACACACACACACACACATACAATCTTCTCCTCGCTGGTGCTCAGCTGTCATGCATTATTAATCTCTTCCACTTTTCAAAATGCCCAAAAAAATACCTCAAACAACAAACTGTGGACTTCAGGAGAAGAGGGACATAACACATTCCTAATGAACAAAGTACTGCCGGTACGAGTGAACCCATGGGGCGAATCAGGCAGATCTGCTTCGAAACACACCAGAACACAAGGCGTGTGTGTGAAATCGATAAATGGCTTTGCCCCGGAGCCCCTTTTTGAAGACATCCCTTCCTGCCCCTCCTCTGATGCAATGTGCTGCAATTCATGCCTATTGTTCTCAATCCACCTGAGTGTTTGTGTGTGTGCATTTATCTGTGTTCACTTTGTACGTACGTGTGCACTGGTTGAGGCCAGGTTGGTTGCCAGGCAACACTAGGCAGCCTTAGTGGATAAGCAGTAGACTCTTCTTTAACGAGACCAGCACACACACACAGTTTGGGGGCCAGCAGGAGTGATTTGACGAGGTAACACACACTGCATCATATTGAGCATACATATAGCTCTGACCTAGTTCTCTTACAGTCATATTGACTCCAGGGTGCGACTCCCCTGCATCCCATATTTAGCACTGACATCAGCATGTCGCCAGAGCAGGAAGAGTTTACTTAAAAAAACTCATCAACACAGAGAGATTGAGAGGTGAAGGTGTGAAAACGCGACCGTGCCAACGCTGTCACTCGGCAGCGCTATCCCTCCAGCTCACGCATCCATTATTGATGCCTGAGGCTTAGCTCACAGCTCTCTGCGTTCTATTATTTATGCCTGAAACAGCTGGCGGTTTATACACAGAGGAGCTATTCTCTATGGGAGTCTGGATCGGGAGAGCGAAAGCAAGCAGCAGGTAGTGGGGCTCACTATCTCCATGGCAACTTGTACCATTGGGAGAAAAAAATATATTTTTCAGTGCGGCAGGCAGTTTTATAACACAGAAGAAGAACTGCAGTACACAGACGCCCACAAAGAGCCTGGCAACATCGTACTAGTGATCTAAACAAAAAGAGTGTGTGTTGTACCTGTTGATGATGTTTCCTCTGACATTAGCATTGACTGCAGTTACATCTAATGTAAAAATGCCTCAATCCAAAATGATGTGTTTCTATTGTAGAGTCCCTTTGGCATCAGTTTACTAGACGCATATTATGGAAAAGCTATTACAGCCTCCATTAACACAAACATTTCCCCTCCTGTAATTCAGTGGGTAGGGACCACTTAGTGGAGCCACTCCTGAGAATGAGCTGTAGCACAAGAATGAAGTGTGTATGTGAGCCTTTTATTGATGAGATGTTTTTGGCTCCCCGATAGCTTGCATGTCATAAAGATGATGTTACTGGGCAAATAAAAATACTTCTGTGTAAATTATTTATAAGGAAGAAGACCATTTTTTTTGCATTTGCTGAGAAAAGGCATTGCAATAGAGACATTTTGATTAATTTGAAAGCAGTTTTCTTATTGATAGTTGATTGTTTGGCAGTGTCAGAGTAGACACACATTCTTGCATCTCATAACAGTAACAATTAGACAGAATTGTTTGCAAGTGAAGTAAGAAGTGATTAAAGCATTATTTAGTTACTTCACTCCAAAGAGCAAAGCAAACTTACTGATGATATAAAAAATGGTTTACTTGTCCTTGTCAACCTTAAACTTGCTGTTAATTATATATTTATAGGGAATTTACAAAGTTAAAAAACAAGTGCACTATAAGTAACATCATATTTCCTATTAATCGATATATCCACTCAACATTTTCTAAATAATAATAATAACCAACCCAAAAAAGTAACCTTAGAACAGAGATAGGTTAATCATTGTGATGTCTAGCTGAATCTTGAGCATTTATCATAATCAACAATGTGCTTAGATCCTGGACTACCTTATTATATTCATCTTTTTGATACATAAAAAAAATAAATCTATATCTGTTATTTGTGTTTTTAAAGGTCCCATCTCATGGCCATTTCTACTGATCATAATTCCATTGTTGAGGTCTACTAGAATAGATTTACATTGTTCAATGTTCCAAAATCACATTGGTTTCTCATACAGCATCTCTATTTAGTATGTGTATTCACTCTCTGTCCTAAACGGCTTGTTAGAGCTCCTGGTTGTTTCCTGGTTGCTGCGTGGGGTCTGCGAGACAGCGAGACAGTACGTGGCGAACTGGAGATCAGCGGAGCCGCGGCTGAGAAAAGACAAGGCTGAGTGTGTGTGTGTGAGGAGCTCCGCGGATTGGTCCATTTGGACCTGGGTATCGTTACGTCACTATACTCAGAAAGAAAAAAATGGAAAAAGAAAAATGTCCAACGAGGTGTTCTGGGGCAGCATAGACAGGTATTTTCTGCGTTAGAATTTTACTCGCTACAGGGTGTACTTTGAGGGTTTGTGACTTTGCAGACCGTTTACATGCAGAAAAAGCTACATAACACACAAGGGGACGGGTAATAACTGGAAAAGCATGTCATGGGACTTTTAATGTCCTCTTGTAAAACACCTGAATTCTATCCAAAATGTGCGCTATAAACTCGCCTTAAGTGTAGTTTAAAACAATCCCACTCATCTTCCTTCCCTCAGGAGCTTTATTAGTGGGTGGTTTGTTGGCTAATCCTCTTATTGAGTTGGAAAAACAACTTATCAAAGCACATTATCACTTTTTCATTACCAATTGTCACACCAAAGGATGATGAAAGTGGGTGATAGCACACATCAATCTGAGGAATAACATACAAGTGTATCTTTGACCACACAAAGCAGAGATTTATTGAGTTTTTCTTTAGGGCTGTCAAAATATCAGATTTTTCTTCAGCCAGAAGAATTTTAGATAGCATTATGACGGGGGTATCTATACAAAATGTATCTTCAACTAGTCTTATTGGGCTTTTTGTCTCTTTTTTGGAAAATGAATTACACTGTAATAAAAACTGTACAAATGTGTGGTTTAAGAGGTGGTGGGTGTGTAATATTTACACAACACAAATATTTAATTCATCAAATATCCCGGTTTTGTCAATATCAATAAGTCCCAAAACCCCTATTCTCCATGCACACGCTGTAATAATGAGCTCTGACCTGCTGAGTGGCACCCTGTTTCTTGTTGGTGGCTGTGGTGGTTGTGATGTCACTTATGGAGGGGGCGGAGTCAGAGCGGTTCCCTCCAGCTGCAGCACTGGACTGCGGCGTGATGGAGGAGGACGGCATGTCTCCGACCAGCCGCGCGCTGCCGTCCACCTTGATGTGCGGGTGCCCCTCGGCGGCCATGTTGAGGATGCGGAGGCCGTTGTAGTAAAGTCCGGAAAGCTGACCCTGGAACATGCCTGCATTGCGCTCTCCTCCACCTCCACCTACACGCACCGTCGTCTGGCTGTTGAAGATGGTCAGCTGGCGACCTACATGGACACACGCACGCACACGCACACACACACACACACAACAGGAAGGAAGGAGGACAAAACACACACGAATACAGTCACACACACATACATACCAGTGGTCACATACGTGCATACATACACACACAAGAGTGTTTGAGTGTTACACAATCCACCACCCCCAAGCCATGGTGAGAGGATGGGATAGATTAAGCATGGCAGAGCAAATCGAAGCCGTGGAGAACCATGGAGAGAGCTGAGACTGTGAGAGATAAGAGTGGGAACAGAAAACAGAGAAGAAGGAGAAGAGGAAGAAGGGGGGGTGAAGAGACTGAGAAGTCGAGGAGGAGGAGGAGGATGAAGAGGCAGCAGATGAGAGGAGTCAGAGGGTCCCGAGAAGACGGGGCTGACAGATGGTTGCTATGGTGATGGCTGTGCGGCACAACATTGTATTTGAAGGAGCAACAGACAGGCAGACAGAGAGACAGAGATCTAGAGAACTGTTGAAACAGCCCTATGAAGCATGCACAGGTTATAAGCTCTAGGACTGCTCACTGTTAAAGGGACTAGAGGCTATTTAAGGAGCTCTGCTGATGTTTATGAGGAAAACTTTTACACTTTTTTTTTCAAAAAGCATTGCTCTATTAGTCATTTCAAATTTACATAATTCTTCCGTGTCACAATACTTTACATATACTTTAATTTACATTTTAGTTTTCAACATATAATCTTTAATAAATGCTTTATTTTTTACAATTTGATAATAAACACAATTATTTACCACTCTTAATAAAGCATCTTTTATCAGTACTTTTACTATTTTCTGATTTATTCACATTTATATCTCTCCATCGTCCCTTTAACCTGATATTATCAGATACACACTAACAAGATACGTTCACAGGCACTACAGTTTACACAGTATTACACACTACAGCTGCCCAACTTTTAAATACTAGTTATGGATTTATTTTTAGATGTTAGTTGATGGTGCACAATAACGTATATTCAACTGTCTTGTATTTTTTAAGCTCAAAGTTTTAAGGAATTTTAATCAGGGTTTTTACCTTTGTCGAGTAGCCAATCGTCAACTACTCGACCGAGCCGATAGGGGATTCGCTGTCTGGCGATGGCCAGGCGCTCGTTATCAATGTTGCCTTTAATTTAGAGATGAAAACACAGTAGTAATTACGCACATCCATACGTGGTACAGGAGCTGGATACAAAAAGAACAGCAATGAAAAGAAAGTAATGGTCTGCTCATTGTTAGCATGTCACTGCGTTAAGGTGAGCTTTATGTGCTAAGAGAAGAGAATTTAAATTCATTACGTTTCCAGTGAGCGGACTCTTACTCTCTGTTCATTGGGTTTAATTTAAAGAGACATTTCAGGGGTTAACATCTGAAAGAGCACAGGGAAATAATGTTACAGCTGCCACATATGACTGACTGAGTTTAGAGTTACATACAGGAAGAACCCTCACACACACCTCAAAACAACTAGCATTTAGCATTTTAACTATCAGCTACCTGAAGCCTCGACCTCATTGCGTTAAAGACTGCTATCCTATATTACCACTTTAAATATAAAAACAAAAACAAATATAAAAACAAAAGGTATGTTCAACAAAATACACTTTTTATTCTTATTTTTACTCTCTAGTTAACCATTTAAAAAAGTATGACATGATTTTAAATTATTGTTTGTCCAAAGATGCACCAACTGTTATTATTTTTCTTTTATGGTGAGAAAAACAACTGACACCCGAATTGAATATTTTCATAAATTACCTTTAACGCTATTTAACAGTCCTAACATGATACATATACAAGCTATTGAAAAAACTATCTTGTTTTATGTTTTAAAAAGTCACGTTTCATTATCAGATCACTCATATTTCATTTCAAACACAATAACATCAAACAAAGTTGCAATTGTATTTCTCAAACTCAGTGTTTGGATATAAACATTTATAGGATGTGATTCACCAATCAGGAGCTTGGCTGATTTTCTAAGGTGTAGCTCTGTCCCGGGACAGGCAGCGCTGTGGTGGGATTGGGGGGTTGGGTTGATGTGGGCGGGGCCTACCTGAGGGATAGCGTTCGATGACTGGCAGGTCGTCCAGTTGAAGGGTTGCATTGCCTCCGCTGCGAGTGAATCGAATTATGTGATACTTTCCATCGTTGACAAACTTGGAGCTCTCCTCGATGTTGATATCATCAGTGCCGACATTAAACACTACTCTAATGTTGCCTTTGTCCTGAGGAGGAGAGACACGAAAAGGGATATCGTTTCTTTGTTTGTTTTTCAGGACTCGGTTTATTGTGCTTAATAAATCCTAAAAATGTGTGCTCCCACTTGCTGCCTGTGAACTTGTGTTAAAGGGGACCTCCGGGATTACTACTGCATATGTAAAACAAGTTGTCTAAAACACTTTGATGCTCAAGAGCACTCAGAGGATTGCCTCAAGTGTTGCACTTGAGTCAGCCTTAGTTTGGATGGAAGAGAAAAAGCTTGAAAATCTGAAATAAAACTGGGGGTGGATTAAGAAAACGGGATGTCTGTAAGCTGCTGCTCATCTCAGCTTTAGGCTGTTGGTCAAAGGCTAAATTAGCCTGTCTAGCAGAACACTCCTGAATCTTTGATTCTGCAGCGGAGTTGCATTGTTTGAAATGTAGCCGGCAGGTATTGACAGAAACAAGGATTAGTGAAATCTTTTTTTTTAATCTATGGTTTTGCTGCATTTGTTTCGACCGCTCCCCCACTTTTAAAAAAACTGTCCAATGTGAGTCCAATTATATTATTGGAATAAAATCCTGTCCAGTTTATCCGGTGCCCTTTAATTTCTTTATAGACAGCCATTTTGTCCAGATCCCTCTTGTAAAGAAGATAATTGTTCTCAATGAAGAATGTATGATTAGTATATACATTGATATCAGGGAAGAACAACCTGTAAATCAACTTTAATGATTCATAAGTATGAAAAAAAACATTCTTCTTTGGGATTGTATTTGAATGCAGGTGTGTGCACTTACTATCTGCAGCTGAAGGTAGTCTCCGAGACCAGACGCGCTGTCAACCCGCAGCAGAGTGGCGTGTTTCTGTTGTGTGCTGAACCCCAGGGCCAGGCGGTCTGCTCTGGTGCTGGGACGCTCATTAGGGGGCCACGTGTAAACCACCACTCCTCCATCACGGCCAAAGATATAAGTGGTCCCAGCTGTCCCACACGGATAATTTAGTTTATATGCAAGCATGTGGATATGCCATACACCGTTCTATAAGTATATCCCAGAATACTTGGTAACATTACTGCAGGAGGCTGACTGCAAAATGTGACTCATAACAATAACAGCATTCAATGGTACAGTAGGACTCGCTGCAGGGTGAGTCAATAATCATCAAGTGTGTTCCTCGAAAGGCCGCTGAGGATAATGTGTTGATCGTGTAACGAGGGCATTATTACAGAGAATTACAATAACCAAACTGGACATTTAGCAGGTGCTGTCTTTGTGCCAGTTATGAATCAACAGTTGACAGTGCCCTCACCTGGTGGCTCTGATATCATGCACACAAAAACATGTTTGATTCAGCGTTTCCAACCAAATCATCTGATTGCATAGATTTGAGACATGCAGTTATATATTAAGGTGTGTTTTCTGCAGTTTAGAGACATTTAGGGTGAGGATTAACTCATAGTGTTGCTATAGATTCTACAAAATGTGTTTATTTAACATTCTTAATGCAGCCGTCCACACCGAGCGCTGAGGGAGATAATGGAAAGCAGAGACTCACCATCATTGCATAGCGGCCCAGCATACGACGTCATGCTGCAGTCGCAGGTGAAGCCCTCCCACTGCTGCAAACAAACTCCCTGATTTGAACAAGAGTCTTCTTGACATGTAGTGCTGGGACCTGCAGTGACAGAGAGGTGGTGGTGGGGGGAGGGAATTGCAAAAGTCAGGATACATATTTTTATGATTTTGTCTGGAGCCCATTGTTGTTTCACAACAGTATGCCAGTACTGTCTGGTTATTTTTAGACCGCATTTCCTTGAGACATTTTGGGTAGACTGTTGTTGTGCTGCAATGATGTTATGATTAGTAGTGTTAGTAGGAGATCTTTATGAGACTACGATATGGTGGATAGGCTGACAAAATATGCTTGATCATGATTATAAACTGAACCGAAACTGAACTGGAATCTGTGTTACGAGGTGATAAGAGCCAAAAATGTGGAAAGCATGCAGGAGGTGAGCCTGGATGAGTGGGGCAAGGACAGGAGGAGCGGTTAAACATAAGAAGGCAGAGTTATGTTTAAAGGCCTTCATCTCAATACTCTCTCTTCAGCAGTCGGTCCCCGTTTACTCCACGCCTTGTGTTAAAAACACACAGGAGGACAATGACTACATTTACATGCCCACTATTGTTACACTTTATTCTGAATTTGGCAATACTCACAATTTCACAAGTCATATATGGTTTGAACATACGGAATAAGGCCTTTTCTGAATGATCAGATTAAGAAATATGTGATATTATTCAGGTTTTGTGGGCCTTCTTTGGAAGTGAATAAAATGCGTTCAGAATATGCATCCTTATTGTGGTTTTAACTTTAGTTATGTTCATTTTATAAAAACATGCCAGAAAGAGAAGCCCCCATTTATATTCGGAATGAAAAACACAACTACTTTTAAACATCATCGAAGACTAGAATATTAACAGGTTTTTAAATATTCTTAAATAATCGCTACCTCGTCAAATAGGTGGCTGATGTAATGAAAGAGGGAATGTTTGCACAGTAAAATAAGTATGCCCCCAATGGACAAATACAGAAATAATCCTATTTAGATGCCTGCAATGGTAATATGAGTTAATTATTTATTTTCATTAGCCATTTAAATGGCTTAATAGGAATATTGTCTATTTCAGAATAAGGGCATAAAATGAATATTTAGTGCATGTAAACGCAGTCAAAGCTCTAAACTTAGTTCTCTTTTGATGTATTTTTAATGCGAGGCGTGGAGGAAAGGGTGTGAAATGATTCACAAATGGAGTATTGAAGGTTAGGTTGGGAGTCAGTAGGAGGGTTAGACAGCATGCTGCTAAGCAACCCGGGTGGTGGAGCTGTGTCGACTCAGGTAGGGCGGTGGTGATGTCACTACTGTGATGAAGTCACTATGGTGGCTAGGAGAGGACAGGTCACCTCTGACCTTTGACTCTGGATCACTGGGATCCACACAAGACTGGACACCACTGGGTAGTTTCAACACACGCACACATACATACACACACCCTCACACACACACACACACGCACACTAGTTTTTTACCACTCTCATACACGTGTCTCACATGCTCACACAAAGCGATATACCTTGCAAGTCAGCTTTCATCAATGTAACTTTTGTCAGCCAAACAAAAAAGCAAACAAGCAAATTAAGTTAGATGGTTAGTCAATGCATACAGATGCCTGTGAACTGTTGAAAGAGTGGAAGAAAGAGAAAACACAATGTGCAGAAAGATCGAGGAGGAGATGAGAACCAAAAGAGTAACATTTACATAGAATAGACCAAAAGCTGGGTTAGTGGGTTATCCTAATCACACAGAGCATGAGGTAAATGGAAAAAGAAAGAAAAAGCAGGAGGGACACGGTACCGGGACAGATCTACGGTTGTGATTTCCGAGTTTGAACCTCACCTTCACAGCCTCTCTCCACTTGTCCAATGGTTGCAAGTGCATCAGCCAAAAGATCAGGGAGTCGGCCATTTAGATCAACTGTTGCTAGACAACCTTGGAAGCCCTCACGGGAGTGGACCAGCTTCGGCAGTTCTCGGTACATCTCTTTGGAGACGCCCCCGATGTACAGGTCACCTGGGGATGATCAAAACAATGAATCAATATATAAAACATGTGTTATTTATAACAGAGAAAAAAGGAAACTGTCCTCATTTTTGAAGCTGGAACCAGTCAATATATTTTTGCATCAAGAATAGTTTGACATTTTGGAAAACACACTCATTATATGTTACTTAGAGTTAGATAAGAAAATGGATAGATCTCTCAGTTATGCCAGGAAACGGTTAGCTTTGCCAGCTAGCCTGTCTCCGTCTGAGCAGACAAAATCCATCAACTAGCATCCATGGCAAAGAACACATAACCCCATACAGACCAACACTTTTTTAAATTTTGTACAGATTAAACAATTGATATATAACCAGTTAATTAGTTTATAAGTGCTGGTAGCTTAATATCCATCAGAGAGTAGCTTTAACCTTCATGTAACTCAGATGTCAAACTTTTCCCTTTAACTGACTTCTTGTTTCAGTAGAACTGTGTATGTATAAGTACATGTCAGCTCCTGTTGTTGAGGTGTTATCACTGCTTGTATTTGTTGCATACCCTTTAAGTCGAGGTTCTTGGCGCCCATGGTGGTCTGCGTGGTGACTTTGGTGTCAATCTTGACCGTGTGGAGATTGTTAGTGTCTCTGGAGATGTGTACGTTGTGCCAATGGTTATCATTTAGAGGACTGTTAGAGTTGCCCTTGATCAGGTGTGCTCCATTGCCCAGGTCAGAAATGTAGTGTAGGTAGCTAGAAAGGGAACCAAAAAGAAGAGAGGAAAGAAAAAAGACAAATTAATCATATTCATAATGAAGAACAACACAGGGTCATACACTTCAGGGCATCTGTCTTCAAGAACCGTAATTAAAGGAGTAGAAAAGGAGCTGCTTGACTTGTGCATTTTTCATATTTGATATTTCAGCCTCAAGAATTGAAAACAAATCCCAGGCTGAGTTGAACATGTGGGAATTACCATTAACACATATTTAACTAATCATTTCCTTTGCAAGACATTGAGTAATGTAAATACCACAGCTCACCCTTTAACTAGCTCTATCACAATGAAGTCGTTGCCGTCTCCCCTGTTGTAGAGAACCAGGCCGTCGGGGGACGTGGTCTTGAACTGCATGAAGACGTGCATGGAGTAGTAGGCCTGCAGCGTGGGCAACGTGACGAAGCTGGAGCGGGAGCGGAAGGTGACGGGGTCAGCCACGATGCTCTTATAGCCAATAACAGCGTTGAGCTCGCAGTAGTCGATGTCGCCGTTCTTGCACAGGTCAATGTAGGGCATGCCGTTCAGTGTCAGGCCCTGAAGGTGGCCGATGAAATTGGAAGGCACGGCAGGCATGAAGCGCTTCTCCGTCACAATACCCGTCTCCACATTGTGGAACTCCAACTGGGTGTGGTCGCCCGCCATCTGACCTGGTGGCGGGTAAACTTCAGAGGTGAGGGCTACGGACACTTGGGTTTCAAGTGGAACTGTTCCAACAATAAAGCTAATTCTCATCCTATTATTTAAACAGTTGAACTAACAGTGATCACAAACTAATTTCAACTGCGAACTTTCCCCAAAAGTATATAGAAAGTATTAATGCAGATTGCATATTTTTTATTAATATTGCAAGATCATAATCATTGGTAGAACTTTATTTCCCACAATGATCGCTGTGTAGTCGTAAAATGTTCATAAACAGACCAACTATGGTCCTTAACACCATATTCTAAAAAAAAAATCCCTTAATATTGGTCTTTTAGCATAACATACAATTAAAATCAATCAGGAATGTATCAGATAGAACATTTGTATACAAAATACAAGCAGAGGAGATTAATGAGTCATTTTATGGTGAAAATCTAAAAGGGATAAAAGGTAATGCTGCTGTGGTTACCTTCGACAGGCTGCAGGTCGTCTACGGTGAGTTTCAGGCCCTTGCCACGCCGGACTACTCTCACCGTGTGCCACTCATTATCATTGAGGCCCAAGCCCGCAAAGATGGTCTCTGGACCTTTACCTACACATAGCCCAGAGCACCGTTAACATAATGCACACAGAGGTGGAGAGAGACAAATAGAGACAGGCAGAGCAGGTAGAAATCCAGAGACAGAGACAGAAGAAGAAGAAGAAGAAGAAGCCAGGCAAGTTGAATTCAAATTTAAGGACAGGAAGGGAGGAAATGGAGGAAAATAGCTGAGGAAAGGGGGAACCATACATATCCTGGGGAGACGAAAAACCTCTGTGTCAAAACAAAGATAGACAGACAGGTGACTTTGCAGATACAGCGGGATGGATGATGTGACACAGACACACAGAAAGATTAACATACATTGATGCCTAAGATGGAGACTGAGTCACACAGGCCTACACTGAGAAAATCCATCTGTGGACACATCACACAGCAATGATGACCACCTATCCACACATGCAGAGACAGCACATTTGCACCCCCATGACTCCTTAACTGCCCTTGCACATTTAACATATAATAGCCTGTGTACATATGCAGGGTCTTCCCTTTGTTTCCTCACAAGACTGCACTACTGCAACATGACTCATGATGGCACTAGACACACAGCGGATCAGCAGAGAGTTCTCCAAGGTGCTGATGTGCAGCAGGATGGAAGAAGCTGAGCTGTCCTCTCATGATGTCTCTCTCTTTGCATCTACCAGCTCATATCTTCACATAGTCCACTGCACACATTTGACAGACTCACTGTTCCTAAAACCTGGGTGTCCCCTAGCTCCTGCTCACTACAAGCACCCCACCAACCTTGAACACAACACCGATTCCCCTCCACTGGGGACCTACAATTTGTCCACATAAGGGAAGCGAGTCCCACACGTGTAAACACATCAGCTCCACACACAAGCAGCACTGCTAGCCAGCCACACACACACACACAACATAAACAGATTTAGGTCCCCACAAGTATAGTAATGCTAGGCCACACACACACACACACACACACACACACACACACACACACACACACACACACACACACACACACACACACACACACACACACACACCCACCCATATAGGTAGAGAAATAAAGGGAGGCTCGCTGACATGCAAACAAAATACGAAAAGTCAATTCAAATACTTCAATGTGTGTGTGTATTTGCAAAGCTAAAATAGTGTGTTCAGAGAGGACACAGGGTTCCCCTGAGGAGACTCAGCTGTGCTCTGGGCATGAGCATCTCATCCTTTTACCATGGATCACTGCCTAACACTGAGTGAAGGAGAGAATATGTGCATGTGTGTGTGACTTAATAAGTGAGTGTGTGTGTGTGTGTATTTTTGCATATGTAGCCAAATAATCAAAGAGCAGAACGCAGTGAGAGTGACGCAGTGATCTGTGTCAACCTGGGAACAGGGAGAGGCAAAAATACACATACAAAAATACACGGATAAACACATACTCATGCACACACACACACACACACACACACACACACACACACACACACACACACACACACACACACACACACACACACACACACACACACACACAACACGTACTACGCACACACACACACACACACACACAATGCACCTATTTTGGGTCGGTGCTAACAGTGCGTTCAGCTGCATTTTGAGCTTGGTTTAAAGTAAAGCTACTAGTGATGGCTGTGGCGGGCAGCAGACAGTCTGAACAGTGCTCTGTGATGTGAAAAAAGAAAAGAGACAAAAGGGAGTTGTTTGTAGCAATGCAAATGCAATTTGAATCAAAAGACACAAGCTAGTGGAGATTATAAGAGCAGGATAATGAAAACAAAACGACTGAAAGCGTTTCATATTTCATTAGCTCCCAATAACAAATGGCTTTTCTGCTGGATAAGCCTTGAATCTTTCCCATGCCGAGGCTTTTATTTGACTGCTGAGTGGATACTTCCAATGGCGCCTGGCTGTTTAATATTTGTATATCTAATGTTTAATTTATTGTATGCACACGGTGTGCCAGAAAAGTGGCTGCCTACTTAAATGTTCATTCAGACAACCGGTCTAAAATTGGCTGACAGACATGCGGGATAGCAACAGTGCTGTGTGGCTAATAGGGTTTCTATGGCAACTGCAGTCGTCCATTTCACCACCTCTTTGCCGTCACAGAGCATTCGTCTCTCTCTCTCTCCCTCTCCCTCTTTCTCGCTTTCTCTGTGGTCGTGACAGAGAGAAACTCCACGTGAGGGAATTAAACTTCATCAGGGATTCAGCTCCACTCACAGCAGCATGAACAGAAATCATACACACTCATTCTCACACAGGATAACACACCTAAACAAACACACACACAGATGGGCAATGAAGAGAATACAAAATGCAAAGGCTCTCACACACAAGCACACCCTAAATACTCTAAATGAAACATTACCCCAAAGTCCCTAATGTACAGTTGAGAAAGAAAACAACAAGCAAACAAAGAAAGCAACCAGACAGCCGTTGGGATGAAGGTGCGTTGGGGAGAAACAGAGCGATAACATGTCTTTTGTCTCCAGCATGAAGGAGAAGTAATTACCCCGCAGCTCTAAGTTACATTCATCCAGCAGCTACGCTTCCCAACGTACCTAATTTTACCTGAACACCTCATTTTTAGCTTCTCTCCTTCTTTTCTTTTTTTCCCTCCCCCCCTCCCTTCCTCCCCTACCGTCCTCTCTTCCGTCTATCCTTTTTTGCTAAAATGGCCGACCTGGAAAACCCTGGCCCTCAGCAAAAATCGCACCACTCCTGTGGTGTAGCTGAACATGCAGACACAAACACGCATATATGCACCTCCGCCTGTCCAACACACACATATATGCACACACATATATGCACACACGCACACACGCACACACACACACACACACACACACACACACACACACACACACACACACACACACACACACATGTTGAATAACGGATTACGATCAGATGGACTAAAAACACAGAGTGGGTGAAAAATGGTCAGAAAGACACATTAACAAAAAACACACACATTGTCACGCACACTCAGGTGGAAAAGGAAGGGGGGGGGTTAGGTGAGATGGAGGATCACTTACTGGCTGTACAGTTTATCCTGATACAGTCTGAAGGGAGAGCAGAGCAGAGAGTTAATGCTGCACACATACACATGTTCCCCACGCCCTGGGGACGCACACATCGACACACCCTGCATGCCACGCATTATATACAAACTGCTGAGAAAACACACACTCTCCTTTGTCAGCTTGACAGTGTATTTTCTTACAAAATGGAGTTGCAAAACGCAATTTTAGAGCCAATAAAGAGTGAAAATTAGGATTGGTGAATCTTCACATTTAAAGTGTTACATATTACAAGGAGAGCGGTGTGTCCCAGCACGAGCAGCGTGCTCATTGGCTGCTCTGGCCTGAGCGACAGTTTCAGTCACCAATCAAAAGCACCAGGAGACTGAGATGGGTCATGTGTGTCAGTTTGTCTGATGACATCGAACACATCCCATAATTTTTGTCGCCCATCCAGAGCACAAATCTCCGTGAATGGTTGGAAGATTTAGCCCCACTATTAGAGGGCTTTTTTTTTTACCCATGATGCATTGGTGTGTCGAGTGGCATCAACCACAGAAGAGACGTGGCTGCAGACAACCAGAGACCAACACATGCACCCCTCTGTTAGTGTATGTGTGTGTTAGCATGAGATCGGTTTGAACTCATGTGAGAGTGCTTGGCTGGTCGGAAGAGTGTTTAAAAGTCGCAATTAAGTGTGGGGTGTATTATTTAAGTGTGTGTGTGTGTGTGTGTGTGGTTTGTGAGTCTTTGTATTGATTGTTGAAGGGATGCACAGGTCCACTGGGAGTGAGCAGAGAATGCAGCTTTAGGCTTGACCCTCTGTTCAACACAAAAACAATACTGCTAACCTTTAACTGTTTATTGTGTTTGTGTGTATTCCAAGTAGGCTTTATATACACCATTAAGTCCATACACATTTTAAAATGTTACTGCAGAAAAAGCTGTGAAATCCTTGAATACAAGCATATTTGCAACATAATTATCTGAATGACTTATCAAGAAGAGTGCTACTCACAAGGGACAATATATTATTTATCAACATTTAATGACATTCCTATGCAAGAAAAAGCCAAGAGGCCAGTTTTAGCTGCATTCCCCTGTGTGGAAATCAAAACAATGTTGGAGATTGTACATGTTTGTGTGCACGTGTGTGTACCTAGGTTGACAGTGAGTCGGACACGGCCCCCATCCAGCTCCAGACGAAGGGTGTCTGCGGAGTTACGGGATGTGGTTGCCATGAGAACCCCGTAGGCCCGCTGGGAGCGAAAGCGTAGCGAGACGTCCTCCGCCTCGGTGTGCATCGCCACGGGCAACTGCACCTTCATAAACTTACTGCCGTCGTACGACAGGATGGTCGCATCTGTACAAGACGGGGGGGACAAGAAACGAGTGAGAGAGGAAGAAGGCAGAGGAAGACAGAGACGGTGATGGAGAAGAGTGAGGTGGGTGGACACATTCAAAAGAAACAGTAACAGATTGACAGGGAGAAAACACACAAGGTGGGAGGAGACAAAGGAAATTTGACATTGAGTGAATCAGATTTAAAACATGACGAAGTATGTTCGTGTTGTGCCTACACTCCCTTGTTCCCCCGCCGGCCACGTCATGTTCAAACTCAAAAGCTGCTTCAAAATGACTCCATCACTTTCCACCCTTAATTCATCATCACTCCCTCACGAAAGGGGATGTAAAAATAGCTGCAGCTGGTTGGCCGGTTGAATCAGAATGCATGGCGGTGAGTGTGTTAGCCTCCGCCGCTGACATCCCAAACCCTGGAGTCATAATGTAACAAGCTCAGGTGATCCCGCTTTAATGTCTTTTGCATACTCATTTACATATTCATAATCTTCTCTCCATGCTACCTGCTGGGGCCAATCCCCAACCGCTAAACTGTTTACCTCTGAGAACCCTGTTTTTTATTGGCCAATTACATACACAGCTAAACACACTCTCCATGTCTCTATCTCTCGTTCTTCTTCCCTTCTTCTTATATCTCTCTATTGCATTCCTCCTTTGCTTTCTCTCCCTTTTGCTCTCCCTGTTTCCGTGGGAGACGGTTAGAGCCAAGGGAAAAACAAGAGAACAGGAAGAGAGGGAGGTCTCATGAATACTGATGAGCTGAGAAGGAGGGAAAGAGGGAGATAGTGTGCGTATGTGTGTGTGCGTGCATGTCAGAATAAGTGAGTGAATTTAAGTGTGAACAGAGGAGGGTTTAGTAAAGTGAGAGCAGGGGGAGAGAAAATAGGGACAGAGCAAGACAGATAGAAAGGAGGGGGGAAAGGGAGAAGAGCTCTTGGCTAAAATGCAAATGAACCCTCATTAACTTGAGGAAAAAAGGAGGTGGTTGGCCTGTTATATCACAGATAACATAACTAACAGACACACATATAGCCGCCCAAGCACACTCCAACACACACACACACACACACACACACACACACACACACACACACACACACACACACACACACACACACACACACACACACACACACACATATTTCCGATAGGGGAGACAGCTGACTAAATGTTCCTCACCGCAGCACCTGACTCACAAACAGGAAAATAGAGCAGGGGGGTTGGTGAGAAGAAAGTATGGAAGCCCATTAATGCCAAAAAAAATAAGCTGTGTGTCTTTAAGAAGTTTTGTTCATTCCAGCTGTAGATTGACTTAGAAATGAGGGTCAACAAATGAAGATTTGATTATACTGGGTTTTAAAAACATTGTAAAAATGCGTTTTGAAAGATTATAGAAATATATTGACCTTTTGGTGGTGACAAATTAAGACCAAACCCTTTGAAGAGTTAAGATAACATTCTTAACATTTTATCTATTGTGTTCTCTTCCTGCCAGGAGTTGGCTTTCATACATAAAGCAGGACAGCACGAAAAAAAATGAAATCAACCAGCGTGAACAGCTAGTGAGCAGGAGGAAAGAGCTGAAATGTGTTAAGGGGTGTGCAAATGTGTCGCTAGAAATATGTGTGTGACTGCTCTACAAAATAAGAATTCATCTTGGAGCCAGAGCGTGGCGACCATCTTTGTTCATTAAAGAAGAGAGAGTGGGAACAAAGACGAGAGTGAGAGAATGAGGGAGGGAGAAAAAGGGAGGCAGAAACCGCAGGTAGAAGGCGTAAACATGGCCAATCACTCTCTCCATCTGCTTCTCCATCTGTGCTTCCTTTAATCCACTGAACCACCAGTTAGTGACCCCTCAGTGCACACAGAGAGGGATGAAAAAAGACATAGAGGAAAGGGAGACGGAGCTAAGAGAAGGAGAGGCAGTGCATCACCACGATAAACCTACACTGCGGCGGTTTGTCCTCAGGAATCAAATGTTTTCATATCAACACTTTGCAGAAAGGGTACGTGTGTGCCCATATCTCCTGTAAGATGATAGTACAATCATCACTTGAGGCGCGTCAGCAGTTGTGGCACAAACAGCATTTCTTCTCTTCTTCTTGTCTGACTCCATCTTCGCTTCTTTCAACAAGCCTCTATCAGTCCCTCTGCCAATCTTTCCCGCTTTCCACTTCTCTCCCTCGACCTGAATTCATACCTTTTCTCATAACTCTCTCTCTCTGTCGGATTTTCTACTCCCATCTCCCATTCCTCCTCACCTGCTGTCATATGGCGGTTCTGGACCGGTGCTTCCACCCTCCTCTGTCACAGCTCCTGCTCCCTGCACATTTCCTCTCCCATCGATTCCCACTCCCTACATCCATAGAAGTCCAATAGTCCTGTCTGCAGCTCTGCATCCTCCTCTTCTCCTTTCCCTGTCTGTAACTTACTACCCTCACTTTTACGCTTTGCTTTGGTTATTGTCTTTTGTTGTTTTGCAAGCAGACTCATTTTCTTCTTGACCTTATTTTTCTATCACCACCTACTTCCTACATTCCATCCTCTTTTTATTTTGTACCTTCCTATTCTCCATCACCAGGGAGGAAGAGGAGGGTAAATTCACCTGAACTCAATCTGCAAGGCTTTTCATTTGGACAGTTTAGCCACATTTTTATGTGCCATAAATCTTTAAGACGGTACTTCTTGAGCGCACATCAGAGTAAGTACTATCAAGGTGATGTGATTTGTTAGGATAGACCTTTAAAAGGAAAAAAGTCTTGCTTAAATGTGTAATTATTTAAAGGTTAATCTCCCGATACAACTGGTGATTTAAAAATATATTTGAAGTGATTGATGGATGTTATTTCTGACATTAAACCTTCCACACCATACAATCTGTCTTCTGTCACTCATCTCTTTGGCATCACTCAGTGTTCTCAAACCAAAAAGTAAATGACAATGTCAGTATGCCTTTTGCATCGTGACGTATTATGACTTTTCCCACAAAACCTTGCTGTTTGGTGAATGGAATTAGCCAGTGAAAATGTGGCATTAGAATTGTTGCCAAATTACAGTACAGGCTGCCACAGTGTTATTCTCGTCCTCTTCACCGCGTCATTCTCACCTCTCTCGCAGGAGCGTCCCAGGTACCCCGTCCCGGAGCAGTCGCACACGTAGCGGTTCCAGCCCTCCCTGCAGATGCCGTTGTGCTGACAGGGGTTGGACATGCACTGTTTGGGCTGCTCTCTGGAGCACGAGGGCTTCACCCCCACCGCCCTCTGGGCCTCGGCCAACCTCCGGATGTCTTTACTCTGCCCGTCCACAAACAGATCTCTGATGCAGCCCACGTAACCGTAGTTCAACAGAGCCGTCCACACCTGAGGAAGGAGGACGCCAGGGGTTGAGGTTTTTCACAGTAAGAAATTTGACCACATCTGGCAATATCTAGTGAGGAACTGCTGTAGGTTTAGTTTTAAAAAGCTTGTTCAAAGCACAGTTAAAAAGTTGAAAATTCCAGCTATTTGTTGGATTATAAAGTACACACGTTCACCCTCACACACATTTTTAAGATTAATAAGTACAAATTAGTCTGAAATTACTCTAAAAATCCCCTATTGAGCTTTTCCTCATATCTTCCTTAAACAGTGAAATTATGAAATAGAAAGATAAGACTTATCTGAACTTTGAGCTACTTTATTTAAATGGCGACTTTTATATTTATATTTATTATTTAAATGGAGTTTTTTTTAAATCTCTTTGAGTCTAAGTATTGGTAGTGACGAAAGGTTAACAAAATATACTTAAAAGTTTGCAACCAATGACTACTCCAATCTAAATTATGTAATATAATCTAATCTGATTTGTAAAGATATGTCATGAAAGGATTTACATTTAATAAGCAGGGTCAATGAAAGCTAACACCACTGACTGGATAACTTTTTTCATTACTAAATATTTGTGCGATTATTCACTAAATTAAATAGATGCTTTAAATATGTGTTTAATACAATTATTGAAGAGAGTACAATATATATGCATATCATCATTTTCATGAGTTCAAGATAACATCAACAACTCAATATACTCAATTCACCATAATGTAAGACTAAAAGCATTCAACTCCACCTTTTCAGAAGCTAGAAGCAGAAACTTTGAGGGTAAATTACAACAGCACACACAAACACACACACACCTCTGTAGGGAAGATGAGTCCAGCGCGGTCTTCAGGTAGCCCCCCGAGGTACAAAGTCTCGTCCAGATCCAAGATCTCACTGTCTCCCGGGGCCGTGTACGCTGTCCTCACACTGTTCACCGAGATGGTTCCTGGAGTCACAGCGAGGCATAAAAACAAATTCAGTAATAGTTATGACCTTCAATGCGAACATCCTCATCACAATCACCACCACCACGACCACCACCACCATCGTAATGACTACCATTATAATCTTTATCATCATCATCATCCCTTGCTCTCCTACTTACTTCTATAATCAGAAGAAATGGAAATATAAAAACTACACAAGCCACAGTCATCAGTAAGCTCCTTTAAGAACATGCTGATTTAAAAGTGCTATGTCCAACATTTTGTTACAAATAAATCATTAAAACGTTATTATTTAGACATTAGGACAGTTAAAGTAAACAAATGAGGTCCCAATAGAGAAGATTGGCAGCCTCTACTCTGGGTTTCTAGATTGTAATTAATACTGGCATAAGAACTATAATTATATTGTGTTAGGACAAAAAACGAAATCCTGTGATTGTACTGCATGTCAGAACTGAGATCAAACACATATAGGAAGAGACAACAGAAGGCATTGCATAAGTATGTTTAATGCATCCCCCCACGTTAAGCATAGGTTTTATGTCAAAAGTGGTCAGAACTTTTCAAAACTTTAAGTTGACTACAGAAAGACAGATGCTGCCAATTGCTATAATTAGTCTCAGTATATTGGTGATTATATAAACATATTATAAAAATGGACAGAGCAACTTTATATTGATTTTGGCCTACACAGCACCCTTACAACCCAGTTAGATTTAAATACAGACAGCATCCGGATGGCCTTGCTCTCGCCAACGCGCTATCCTCCCCCCCCTCCTTATCGCCCGCCGCGGTCAGGGTTAGAGCGGTGAAAGTACCTGAGCGTCCGTCCCTCTGGAAGTCCACATGATACCACTCTCCGTCGTTGACCTTTCTGTCCATTGCCCTGGTCTTGGTGGTTCCTGAGCCCATGTCCAGCAGTAAGTACAAGTGCCCGTCCAGCATTTCAATGGCGAAAAAATCCACCTGCAAGTGAACAAGACACAGTATTAGTATTCTGTAAAAAGCAGGGATGTTGATGGCTGGCAATAAAAATGCAAATTGTAGCTGCAAGTTACAATAAGGCAATGGGCTCTGGTTTAACCAGTTTAACCATTCAGGTTCTTTGTTGAATGCCAAATTAAGTGAAGAAAAGTAAACTTCTTTAAAAACTTTATTAGACATCAAGGGAATGGGAAGTTAAGGACTCTTTAGAGTCGTAACAGGGACAATCAGGAATTCAGTGGTTTATAGAAGAGGAAGATGAAAAGCAAAATGCCTGACAGCCAGCTTGGATTTTAACAGCCAAATTTAAAAAATAATGGGCAATCATTTATAATTGTACATATTTTTATGGTTCCCAGGAGTTGTATCCTAAAAACATTTATGATTCATTAATTTGATCCATGTACACATAAATCAATTTTTTTATTTGTTAACAGATTGTTGAAGATACCTGCATAACCATTTGTGATTATAGTGATAGTTGGCAAATGTTGGCATACTGTAGTAAGACTCTTACGAATTATGAACATTTTAAAAGTAATACCTGGTAAACATCAGCATTTAGCTAAAAGCAAAGCCTCGCTATGTCAATGGTGTAGATTTAGACGGTGTGCTTTAAAAAAAAAAATACTGTATACTATTTTCACCTTGAGTGTAGGAGGCGTGCGTGGGTCCTTGCGTTCCTGCTGTCGGGGTTTGCCGTGGCTGAAAAGCATCAACCCGTTTGGCTCTGTGGTCCTGAAGTCGAACGAGATGGATCCCGCCTTCTTCGCTGACCACTTGCTCAGTGCCACGAAAGACTCAGGGGTGTCAAAGGTTACGGGGTCCAGCGTAGCCACACTCTCACACTTAAAGGACACCACCCCACTAACCTGGGACCAGAAAAGACAGTTAAGGGGTTTAAGCATTTAAAGCTGGGTTGTTAAACTGATGTCTTGTGAACATCAGGATCAAAATGGTTCCTTTGTAGCCTGGGAATAAAGCCAGTTTTTTTCAAGCTGTGAACATGACAACCTGCCAAACATATAATACAATTTTCTTAAAATTAATACAGTATAAGTCCCACAGTGCCTTTCAGGAGCTTCTGAAAAAAAAAAAGATGTCTCTGTATAAGAGGATAATGTGTCTGCTTAAGTTGTACATTGTGTTGAAAGTACATACCTTCATCTTTGGGTCTCCCTGTTTAGCCAGTTTCGACAGCTCCAACCGTACGTCGTTGTTCTTGTACACCACCTGGAGCGGGACAAATAAAACGATACATTCATTCAGGATGAAAAAAAGAAGACTTTTCCTTCACCTCTGGTCAATAGATGAACCCAACAGAGTAAATATTGCAGCACAGAATTTGACTATTGTAATCTTTCTTTGTTTAATTGAAGCTAGCGAAAATAGGCTTTGATTGACCTTTCCAGAGGTCAAAAAAAGAATAGAATGCTGAAAAGATAAAGAGGGAACAAGGCACTTTATATATGGCCAGACATCCATTAGTCGGGAAACGTATAAATGTTCTTTTCTTTTTTTATGAAAGCGACAACCTTAAGAGCAGCGAGCCACTCATCTTTTGATAACACATTTTTCCCCGCCACTTGAAAGACTGCCTTTACTTTCTCTCTTCTTTCCTTCTGTGTTTCACTCTTTCTCTTCCCTTACACAGAACGCTCTCTGACTGAGCAGCATGAGTGTAAAAAGAGCCTGCTAGTGCTGAGCATTTTGATGTTGAGAGAGACAAGCACACAGGCTCTGCTTTATTTATCCAGACCTCTTTTTTGACTTGTGAGCATCTCAGTAATATTAAGAAAGATATTCCTCCGTATGACTTTTTTTTTTTTACCTCTGTTCTTGTTTATCATGCACTTTTGTTGTGCGTAGTGCGTAGGGCAAGGGAGGGTGGTTCTGCAATAAAAGTGCTGCAAGTGTGCAAAACGGTGTTAGCGTGCGTGCCTGCACCCGCATCAAATGCACAAAATTGTTGCAGCCGCGATCGTTCATGTGTGTGATTCAGTGCATACATCTTAATTTGCTCACACGGATTATCATATCATCGTATTAAATATGTAAATGTGCCAGTGGAGGGTTCACTCTGACAGCGGCAGCCTCGTTTAAACGCCATCAGTCATAATGAAGCAACACAGAGCGCATTCACCAATGATACAGATAGCTCTCTGTTTGGCACATCATCTGTCGGCTTGTTTGCTTGTTTGTTTATGCCTCTGTGTGAGTCTGTTCGAATGAAAGAGAGACTCAGACATGGTGTGAATATAATGGATGTTAGGATGTATTTAGGGGTTATGTGTTTCAGGTGCTGTATATGCATCTGTATATTTATTTCTGCTCGACTATTTCTGTCTGTGTGTGTTTTGGTGGGTATGTTCATGCATGCACACAACAACCTAAGTTTGCGAATATTCGTGTAAATGGGTGTTTTCGTCCGTTTGTCATGTGAGTTTTGGTTTTTGCAGTGTGTGTTGTGGCCCATTTCCAGCACAGCGGATGGATGGAGCGTCTCTGTGGCGTAGCTAATTAGCATTTTAGCGCTTAGTGCTGTATCTACTCTCTCAACGACACTCATCACTGATTCTCTCTGATGCTGGGAAGGGTGTGTGTGTTTGTGTGTGTCTGGGAATGTTTGTATGAGTCTGCCAAATGGCAGCATTTTCTGTGTGTGTGCGCTTCATAAGATAATGTGTGTGTATTATGTTTGAATGATATGTTACAGAAAGGGAAGGCCGGAAGAGAGAAAGAAAGTTATTTTTACTGAAAACCTAGGTGTATACATTAAGCTGTGCAGCTTGTAATTGTAGAGTGTATAATTGTTTGTATTGTTTAATATTCAGTAAAATTATATTGTGAAGAAATTATTATGTGCAGATAAAATTCTCCTTTAATTAAGTCTAAATTAATCATTCTTCGCAAATTGTAGTTATAAACAAGCATTACTTATTAAATAAGTTGTTGGACATGTTTTGTTTAATACAATGCAATTGGGCTATTTTATTTGTGTTAATGCAAACATCTTGATACTGAAAAAATTATCTCATTAACCCAATTGTGCCAATTGAATTTACTTCAGTAAACATGTTCTCTGGGCTTGCCTAAGCGCAAATCAGAAAACATATTCAAAATCGGTCAAAACGTTTGTCTGAAGAGTGACTTTGTTTAATTAAACTATATTTATTGTTTGGGAACATGGGACTACTGTTTCTGATGAATGTTTCATTATATCTTTCTTAAAGAAAACAGTAGTCCCATGTGCCCAAAGACAAGATTATGTTATGATAAGAAAGAAGCTGGTTCAGAAGTTACAAGGGGCACAATCAAGTATTAAATCAAACATAGGCACACATATGCACAAAATAATCAAATGGAAGACATTACATAAACACAGAATTGCGCCAATACTTGCCCAAATTATGTCTGTAGCAGATTTAATTAAGTTTGACCAATCAGAACAGGAGATGTGGCATTGTTCCTTATGATAATAATAATAGTCTTATGCACAAATGGGTTAATACCATGTCATATCAATAGTAAGAGCATGTCAAACGTGTTATATACTACACATATACAGTGGGGAAAAAAAGTATTTAGTCAGCCACCAATTGTGCAAGTTCTCCCACTTAAAAAGATGAGAGAGGCCTGTAATTTTCATCCTAGGTATACCTCAATTATGAGAGACAAAAGGAGAAAAAAAAATCCAGAAAATCACATTGTCTGATTTTTAAAGAATTTATTTGCAAATTATGGTGGAAAATAAGTATTTGGTCAATAACAAACAAACAAGATTTCTGGCTCTCACAGACCTGTAACTTCTTCTTTAAGAGCCTCCTCTGTCCTCCACTTGTTAACTGTATTAATGGCACCTGTTTGAACTCGTCATCAGTATAAAAGACACCTGTCCACAACCTCAAACAGTCACACTCCAAACTCCACTATGGCCAAGACCAAAGAGCTGTCAAAGGACACCAGAAACAAAATTGTAGACCTGCACCAGGCTGGGAAGACTGAATCTGCAATAGGTAAGCAGCTTGGTGTGAAGAAATCAACTGTGGGAGCAATTGTTAGAAAATGGAAGACATACAAGACCACTGATAATCTCCCTCGATCTGGGGCTCCACGCAAGATCTCACCCCGTGGGGTCAAAATGATCACAAGAACGGTGAGCAAAAATCCCAGAACCACATGGGGGGACCTAGTCAATGACCTGCAGAGAGCTGGGACCAAAGTAACAAAGGCTACCATCAGTAACACACTACGCC